ATTTTTTATTTATAAATAAAGTTGTTATAATATAATACCACATAGTTACACACAAGGCATAGTATTGACAAGATGAGCCTGAGTACGTAACTTTCACATAACTGTCCAGTTTGCGTCTCTTACAACAGGGTGGTGGTGCGACTGCAATTCCAGGCAGTCTTCGTTTTGTCCGCGGACAGTATCGATTGCGCCCGCTCGGTCTCGGTTGACGTGTATTGGCGGTGTTCTTGTCACAGCGATACGACCGCTGTCATGTACGATTGCCGCTTGTGCTTTTATTTTATCACAAAGCAACAGATATTTGATTTCATTCTACATATAATACATTGCAGCGAACTTGTTTGTTACACTGAAATTATTATTTTCAGTAAACATAAATTATGTGAACAATAAAATACTAAGAACACCAATGCTCCATGCACCAGCTATTTTTAATATATATTTTGTATAGCAAAATGCACATTTCTGAAATAATGTTGCCCTATATACCATTGTCTTAATTTATCTAATCTTCTTCACTCCGAAACAGTTCCATTTTCTCGTCGATTTCTTGCGAGTAGTACGTACTCACCGCTCTGGCGGAATCCACACGACATTCCCGATTTCGTCGAACAAACATTCGCTATCTCATTACCAGCGGAAGTGTCATAGGCATCCCCCGCTGTAGGTGCAGTGCCCCCACTTCTCGCGCAGTGCTCCCACTCCGGGCGTGCAGTGCCCCCCCACCCGTCGTGCGGTGCTTCTACATCCGATTTAATAATCCTAAGATTGTTGACACTGTGGTCGCGGAGGTATCACTGGCAAATGCATATCTTAGTGTTTGTATGTACTTTGAATCTGTACTATTTGGATAAGTGTATTTTCTGTGTCATCTTGATGAAACAAAACGAGCAAAAGGTTGCGCTTATCGATATTTAAGTTTAAATGTTTCGTGAGGACAACTTCACTTTTTAGCGCTTGCTAATAGCTATTAATATTTAAGCACATTTAAGTAATGTTTGCGGATTGCAGACGGCAGTCACGACTGCGAGGTCCCACGGGTCTCATTAAAGCGTCGAGTTCACGCGACTTGCTCATGTTATTGTTTGAATTTGACTAAAGTGGTAATTTAGGAAACAGTTTTTAGTAATGATCGTACCTAATTTGAGTTAAGACAGCGTAAAGTAACAGTAAGTAAGTAGTAAAGTAAACAAGTAAAAAAGTAACTGCACTTATATAATACAAGACTAACAGGCGGTTTTTTAAATGAATTAAAAAACCCATTACAATGTCATAACAAAAGACAAACAATAACAATGTAATTCTATAAGCACAAAATAACACACATGCCATCAAAAAGTCAATTTGTCACTCGATTAACGTTAAAAGAGTCTGAATAATTGAATTACGACCAATCGGAGGCGGTCTCGGAGCGACACAATCGAATGTTATTCGAATGGGCCAATAGGGGGGGCGCGTGTCGAGCAAATCTGACATCTGTCATATGTGAGTCGGGAGCGGTTGTTAGCGGCGCGGTGAGACGAACGCGACAGTTGTCACGGCCGGCAACGTCATTGTGTTTTATTGTCATGTTTTATCCAATCTATCGGTGAAATGACATTTGTTAGTTGTCGATTTACTTCTTTTTGTTATTGTTATTGTGTTTGTTTGTATAAGTATATACAATTTACTCATAGCAGTTTTGTCTTCAATATAAATAAGAACATTTAAAAACAAACTGCAACTATAAATGTTACTAATTCAATTGGATTCCGTATCCGCAATCAGACTGGGATAATGAAATGTCAAAAGCTATAAAGCCCGTATAACTTTTTGCCGCTGTAGTAACCCTTAAATGTAAACATAGTATTGTGGTGAAAGTTGTATTTCACGTGAGCGCTGCGCCGCCCTGTAAGGAAAGTGTAAGTAACGTCAAACAAACAACTGCCGAGCGATTGCGTTTAATTTTTATTACCTTGTTGGAGGAGGGGGCGGAGGCGGGGGGGGGGGGGGGCAGGTAATACTAGAGATGGGATTATGTCAAATTATCGATATTATATTTTACTTTCATATCATAGATTTAAAACTCATTTTATTCATATTGTGTAAATATTTAGTTTTGTACATTATTGTTGGCAACCATTTATTTCAATAATTACCAAAAGTTTCGTACCTTTTTGAGATTTTTTTTTTACGTTTTATAAGCTAGCGCTTGACCACGATCCCACCTGGTGAAGTGGAGATTTTGGTCGAAAGATGGTACGCGTTTGACTCGACTTTCTAATCCGCAGTGCATTATATTTAAGTGAAAAGCAGAATCATTACCATTGTTATTGATTTAGGGAATCTTAACCGTCAGTACAAGTTTTACTTTCTACTTCTAGTTTTTTGTAAAACAAAAACCATTTTTATAAGCACAGGTGTGTATAAAAATACATAAATTTGATAGTAATCACACAGATGAAAACTATATTATATTTAAGTACATTGAAGCCCCAAACCACGAACCATAGCGAAACGCAAAGTTTTTTCAAGCTAACCAGAATGGTTACAAGAAATCTTGGTAAATTCACGAACATCTACTAGTGTTGTTTCATAAAAAAATAAATATCTAGACAAAAAACTTGCTATGCAGCAATCTGTACTGATGAAAGAAAAAAAATTGAAAAGTAATAATTAAATTAAATGTTATGGTTTCTATAATTTCCACATCACTAGCGGTCAACTCATGGCGTGTCAAAATGTCACTTATTAGCCCCAAACACGAGCAACCGCCCGCCGCCCGCCGCCCGCCGCCGCCCCGGCCCGCTATGACTACGATTAAATTTTTATTTTATTAATAACCAAAACGTTCATGTTTGCCTTCTATAATTAGATTTCCGAAGTGATTTAAATTTGTACGGTGTCCGGCGAGCGCGACACTAGCCCCCGCACTAGCGCCCGCACTAGCATTTTAACGAACTCTAATTGGGTCGGATTATCAAGATTCCGGCGAGTTCTGCATAGCTTTTTTTATTTATTTTCTTGTCGTTTTAATCTTTAGTGCGATAAGTTGATTTAGCTTTTAAATGTACATTTACTTTGCTGACGTCACTGATTATATCACTTAATTAAATCTGATTGCTTTTCAAATAAGTTCTGAGTAAATTGTTAGTTTGTATTTTAAAATTGGTTGACGCGCCTCACTTACACTTTAATGGAAAGAATTCATGTACAAACTTTTCAAAATAAAAACTATAATAATTATTCACACAAACTTAGACGAATAAAATATTATAAATCCTAAAAAAGCGAAGATAAAAGAAGTGGAGCTTTTATACATGTTTTTTGTATAAATTCTTTCAAGTGGAAACACATATCTTGGCTATTTTTAGTGTAATATTACACTTAACTCAAAACAATTCTCAATCTTTTCAATTGAAAATTATCAAAGTCTGTGTGTGTGTGTGTGTGCGTATGTGTGTGTGTGTGTGTGGGTATCGCGCGTGAAATGACAGGGCCGCACAGTGTCCGGTACGGGCCGACACCACACGACTTCACCCCTCTCGCACAACTGAACACAACACGCTCGTGTCATTTTAATGACCTTCTAGTTAATTTTGTAAACAAGCGTCTCCACGTTCTTAGTAAAAGTATTGTTACGTCCTTCGTACACAAGGCTACGTAACTCTTGAAAATCTGGTCATATTAGTCGCTAAGTGACTTACGCACTACGATGTCATAGGTTCACACACAGGCACGCGTCCGGGACTTTTATCTTCCGTCGTCAAAGTCAGTGACTCGCTACCTGTTTATGTATGATTTTCAAGACGGCGGAACAAATCCCTCAAGTTAGCTTTGTAGTCGTTATTCCTGTACTGACCGAATAGACGACCCGCGTAGACGATTACGTATCGTACGTAGCGCGCACTACGCAATACTCGCGGCGCAAGTAAACAATATTAACATTGCGTTGTGTCCGAAGCGCCTTAAAGTAATGAGCAACTGGAAACAAAAGCCAATCGGACTGTTGCACTCACAAGAATAGTTAGGACTGGATATGTTTACTTTAAATTTGATGAAGGTCACGATGGTAACATACAACTTCTCCAGGGCTGATCTGCAATAGTTTAAAATGTGGAATAGTTATCTAAGACTTTTCATAAATAAATATGTTGATGAGAGAGAGAGAGAGAGAGAGAGCATAATATGAACTGGCAGGTTGCTTCGTGCAGTAAATGTTTGACATTGATCACACGGAACTGTTGTTCGTTTCCAAACCGTTATCGCTTTCCGATGCCAAGAGCCATTTAATACATTTACTAGGGAAGCGATCGCTCGCATGTCTCGCGTCGCGTCGCCTCGTCTCCTTGCCTGCGCCAAATCGAAGCGATCACGCAAACGCCGCGGCTGGGAGCACCCCACGAATATATCATTTCACACTACAATTTGACACCACATTCAAAACATACGTCGCCAAAGTTCGAGCCAAATTAAACTGATCGACAATACCTTAAAGTTTAAATCGCTCCGACAGCCTTTTAGTAGGGTGGATGACACAGTGATGGCACATTTATGTGATAGAGCTCGCGTTTCATGCTTCGCAGTATTGAAAGTTAGTTTTGTTTCGTTACGTCTGGCCTCACAAACCGTTTAGTGACGTGTTCTCCTTGATTTATCGTCTGCGGCGAGGCTTTCGGTGCTCCCTCCCCTCCTGCGCCCCGCTCCCCGCGCCCGCCCCTCTCGTGAAGTTTGATGCTCTAATAAATGGCGCGGCATCAATTACTGGTCGGCCGCCCCGCACGAGCGCGCTCACTTCGTTAATCTGTTAAGTTGACTGTTGTTTGACAATTTGCTGGTTCGTGACGGTTATTATGTGCCGGCGGCGCGCACGGAACTACGCTAAACATAATGAATTGATTCGAAATAACTATGAAATGACGACTACGTCTATTAACTACGGCTTCAATTTACATTTTGATGTTTGGATAATATCATACACTTAAAAAGTGAGCTCTAATGTTACTTTGTGTTTGTTGCAGGTGTGGTTCCAGAACCGGCGCGCCAAGTGGCGGCGACAGGAGAAGATGGAGGCAGCACGGCTGGGGCTGGCGGAGTACGGAGCGCCTGTGCCGCGCCTCGGCCTCGGCCTACCGGTCGACCCTTGGCTCGCGCCGCCGCTGCTCTCTGCGCTGCCCGGTACATACATCCTCAATTTGCCAATTCGAACTCGGTTTAAGAAGCCATTACCTCGTATTACACGTACTGGGGACAGAGGTGGAAACGGTGTAGACCATTTACCTTATCAACAAAATCTTCAACAAAAACATCACCAAATGTTTTGCTGACTTGTGTTTATGTTTAACGTTAGAATTGCCAGTCATAGATATAGTCATAATAAACAGTCATAGAATCAATATTTATAGTTTTTTGTCTTATTGCAGGTTTCCTCAGTCACCCGCCGTCGGGCTACCCGAGCTACCTGACGCCCCCCGCGCCGCCCGCACCCCCCGCACTCGCGCCCGCCGCGCCCGACCCGCGCTCAACCAGCATCGCCGCGCTGCGCATGAAGGCCAAAGAGCACGTCGAGTCCATTAGTAAAGGCATGCAGATGGTATAAACCTCGAATTTATCAAAAAACTAAGATAATTGATATAGAAACTTAAAATTAATAAAATACAGGATGACCAAATTCTATTCCTTTTACCCTCTCAAACTTTATTTAATGAGAAACAGATAAGGGTTTCGGGTAAGCTGACTTGAATATGACAGGGGAGAGATGTGTAGGAAGAGAAAATGTCCCTACGATGTATAGATCGTCTCCTGCCTTAAAGGTAGGCGATACATCTGCAACCTTCTTGAGGATGTGTAAGGACAGCGGTTACTCCTTATTTATGAGATGGCCGTTTGCTTGTTTGTCATAATAGTACGTTCAGAAAGGACAAATAAATCTGAAACATTCCAGAAACTATAAACATGTATAGATAATTATTTAATTTAATATAATCTGTGTAAATATTGTAAACAAAATAGATGTGCAACTTTCGTAGATTGTGAGCGTAACATAATATTTTTATGTATTATATAATACTTTAAATTAATTGTACGTATGTGTGTGTGATCATTATAACACATTGTGTTTATGTAATTTTCATTTCATTTTCCTCAACTCAGTTTGTAATTTTAAATTGAGACGTTTTCTGAAAAATGTTGGATTGTTTTAAAATGAAATATACTCCAACGGATGTGACAAAGTTCATAGTTTATTTTATGTAACTTTGATTAGCAAAATACAATATGTTTTCAATAATCAGAAGTAACAGCTAAATATTTTAAAAGCTTTATACTTTGTTCTCACTTATTACTCGAGTTAATTTATATAAATACATATTGTATATAAAGATTGTAAATAATTCAGATTAAGCAATAGATATAAGTACATATATGGTTATAAATATAATATAATATGTATTGAAGTGAAAAATGTTTCAGAAAGAAAATGAAATAATCAATCTAAGATTATTTGTGTCAGTTGATTGTTTTTCATTCGGATTAAATATATAATATGATTGTAATTTTCCTTGTTGTGGTTATAACTGCAGCGTGAGCTAATGAAAGTATTTACAATGTATTGTGTCATTTAAATATTTTAAATCATTATACATATAACACTATGACCTAATCACCCTTAACTTAGGGTAGGCTTCGAGCCCCTCGCTGAGGACGTTTAGTGAGCTGATGATGATGATGATACATATAACATGCGTGGGCGTGTCATAAAATTATTATTTAAATGAAAATTATGAAAGATCAGAAAGTAAAAACATACAATAACAATTAAATTATAATAATAGATATGTCTATAAAAATGCTGTTGTTTTGTTGTAAATTAAATTATTATCATTATGATGTCCACACAACAAAATATTATATTTTAATGTGAACGCTTCTCAAAATGTCTCAATTTACCTTTACCTATCAGTTTGTAAGTTTTCCAATACAATTGTAAATAATAAAAATGTATAATTTAAATATTTATGTGTAAATAAAATAAGTAGGATAAGAACGAGACATCTCCTCGATGCATTCGGGCATAGAAACTGTATAGTTCAATGAAACAGATAAATAAATGTGTTCTTTATACAAATGTTGTTATTTCTTATTTTACTCTTTATCCATATTTTTATTAGAATATGCTTACCTTTTAATGATGTTAATTGACCTCAGAGGTATAAACAATAACAACAAAGTACACACACATCACAAGTGTGAGATGATTTATCAATATCTGAGTAACATATAAAATGGAATGTTGAAATATAAAAATCAAATCTATCTCAGATACATAAAGCTTATATACAATATAATATAAATAAATCCATTACTAAATAAAATTCACGTAATCAAATAACATTATCAAAAAAACAAACACATTTTACTAAAAGTCTGCGTTGCTCGTAGCCCGTAGAGGCCGTGGACCGTAGCCGCGTAGCAGTGTGGGTCGAGGGCTGTGGCTGAGGGCATAGAGGGAGGGAGCGCTACGGAGAACATTTAATAAACTGAACTGCACTCAATGATTGTATTTTTCTCACTGTTTGCTCTGGCAGTTTAGTGTCGGCTTACACGGCACCTGCACACTGCTAGTCACATATTTACAACTAGATTGAATGTCTATATTGTTGTCTTGTGCTAATAATAAACTGTTTTATTTTGAACTTTACTTTTAAATACTCAATAAATTTAGTGAAATATCTTCTTTAATAATTGTTTATAAAATTATTGTGATCAGATCAATATCGAAACGTGGTGTTGTTTCTCAATACTGCACAGATGAAAAGATGAAATCTATTTTTATTAATTAAATTATATTGAGTGATAATAAATATATCGTAGATATATGTGTAAGCTCTGTGCAGAACGCCGCCGCTAACAAAACTCATAGTGCGCGCCGTCGCACTCGATTAGCGGCCAAACGCCGCATTAACATGTTATTGCTTCTCCCAGCACTGCGCGTCCTTGCCCCCTCCCCACACACCCGCACATCTCTCCCCCCCCCCCTCGCCTCACAATTATTAGAGCACGGAATGTTAAAAAGAGAAGACAATTTGTTAATGATTGTATTCAGATGTGTGTAAAGTTAATGTTTCATTAAATATCGTTTCTTTCTTATAAAGTTAAATACTGACAGGAATTTAGCAAAAAATGTTTCTATATTTAAATATATATTATGGATATTTGTATGAGGTGTCAATAGTGTCGAGACTCAACTTATATTGGAGCTCAATTTATTAAATAAAAGAATGTCATTGGTACGAAGCGATGGATGGACGTGGATTTGACTAGAGACGTCAATGGTAGGAATGATTGGTTGAGAAGGGGAGCGAAACCTGATAAGGCTGATAAGGGGGCATATTTATATAACATTTATAGAAATTTTGAGTTACGCGTAAAAAAGTATTCGAAAAACGTTATTTAAATTAATCCAATCGCTATGAAAATCAATAACTTAAGTGCAGATCGTCAACAAGGTAATAATAATTTTATCTTTTTTTTCTGTTTTTTTTTTGTTCTTGTTCTATACTCAAACACACACACACATACAAATGACGCCCACACACATTTTCATTTTCTTAAATTGTTTGTTTTTTTTTGTTCGAAGCTAGTACTGGCAAAAGAACCTACTTTCCATTTATAGACATCACAATTCAGATGTGTATCAAATATCATTGAGATAGTTATTTTTGATATGTAACTTTACAACAAGTGCGCAGCGACCTACGGCTAGCTATTTTCAATCTTTTTCATGAGAAGGTGGGTAGATAAGAACCTGCTTGACACTGGATTCTGATCGGTGTTGGCAAACCTGAGCCACCCCCTTTTTGTCATATTTGTTTTTAAATAATTGCGTGTTGTATAACTCTGTCAATTACTGTATAGTAATAACACTTTATTATCATTATTAGTATAAAAAACGATAAGGTAAAGAATGACAGTAAGAATACAAAATAATAAGAGCCAAGTTGTTGAAGTATCACTTGCCGTGTGAAGTGTGAAGGCAACTTTATGATTTACAACAACATGTACAGACTCGTTGCGACGCGACGTGCGCTGCGCATGTTGCGGACGACGTTATATAACAATGTAAGTTTTTCATTCTAATATTCATTGATTTTGTACAATTTGCAAAAAAATTTACAAAGTTTTTGATACAATAAAAATATGTCGAAGACCACCATCTCGTCTGGCGCGCCCGGGAAAAAATCACAGTTGAGCGCATCGTTCTGTGGATGTCCTCAGTGTAAATACTTGTTTTGTATAAAAATGAAATCATTTCAGTCCTTCAAACGACGAGTACAACAAAATGTTTTCATACATCAGTTGCCTACGACATTTCCTAGTGCTGTTTATCACTTACTGCAAACATCGTCCTATATTGTATGACTGTATGGGATCTTATTTATGACCCACCGCGTCAACACTTAGCGCCCGGCGCCGGCGATCACACGCCGGGCACGACCGTCGCACCCGGCGTGCCTTGCGTTGATTGTAAATCACAACTTTTACCCCATTACCTCGCTGTATATCATAAAGTTATTGTTTATGTTATGTGTGACTTCTGGTATTCGTTATTACCTGGGTGATGAGTTTATATAGCTAGAGGTTAAGTAGTTGTTAGACTTGTAGTTAAGTTAAAGACTTCACTTAAAGTTTAAAGTGCAGCCAGAACAAAGTAAACTATAAATTCTTTATGAAGTAAATCTGCCATCCAATAAGTATTCTTAATTTGGTAAGTAAGCGGCTCAGTAATTAGCTGCGACACGAGAAGCGCCCCCCCCCCCCCCGCCCCGCCGCCGGAACATTTAAATTGCACTCGTTAGTACTAATATGTGTTTTATATTCATTACGAGTGATTAATTTTGTCAGAAAAGTACTGATGTGCATTTTGACTTGTTTGTTGTTGATTTTATTTCGAATAATTATGATAAGCACTAATAAGAAAATAAACAAAAAAATGATTTTCCGCATCAGCTATATATGTAAAATGTGTGGAACATTGAATACAAAAGTTAAAATTAAAAGTCTCATAAACGGATTTCCATTTTTGCTAGCCCCATCTAGTATTAAGTAGAAGAATTAGTCCTCCAAGGATGATAACAAAATAAATTGTAATTAAATACTTTATCATGCAATAAATTGATAATTAGTAAGTCATTTACAATTTCCCAATTTTGATTTTTATGCTTTTAAGTAAGTCTTGCTAGATTTAATTTGTACATTTACAAATTTAAAAACCCTTAAATTAGTTCTGCTACTCGCCGCTGTAGCGCTGACGTCGCTCCCGATTTTTAATTACAGCGGGCCCGGAGGCGCGGCGACGACAATTTGCAAGTCAAAGCCGCTGAAAAAACCCTAAAACACCCGACACACAGCCCTTTGGCGCTCACTCAGGACAGCGAAAACCGTGGAGAAGGTAAAAATACTTTATTATTATTTATTAAATAACTTTAGAATTGTATCTTGCTTGTATTGTCTCTTCGACATATTCCTCTGAACCATTGTGATATGATGCTTTTTTTTTTTAATTAAATAGTCTCGACAATAAAACTTAAAGAACCTACGACAGAGAAATATAAAATTTAGTATTTTTAACCATGTTTTTTTTTCTTATAGTTGTTTTTATTTTTCGCTTTTGGTCGCTGTCATTAATTAATGTGCGTTTGGCTTTTTCAACTTATAATTAAATATAAAACGTGCTAGCAAGGACCCTGTATTAGTTTTTCCCTGTTTTCAATAAGTTTGCATCAGGGCACTTCATTGACACTTTACAGAGTTATCAGTATTTGCCGAATCTACGTTGTATGATAAACTAGCAATTTCAAATAAAAAGTAATAGTGTCCTCTCCTCTAATTGTCACAGGCTCCGTGCTCACCGGTGGCGATGTAATATATTAGATGACG